CGAGTCCACACCTCTGGTTAGAACCGCTGAAAAAACATGTTTGGAGCTACATGGAAAGGAGGTTTGAGTTGGTTCTTACTCTAGTTGTTCTTTTGTAGACATAGGCAATCCTTTTTTGTAGATTTTTTTCCCTTAAAGAAAAAAGTTATTTGGTGGAGAGGGGGGGGGAGGGGGGAGTGGTTTGTTGGAGAGGGTGGGGAGGGGGGAGTGGTTTGGTGGAGAGGGAGGGGAGGGGGGAGTGGTTTGGTGGAGAGGGAGGGGAGGGGGGAGTGGTTTGTTGGAGAGGGAGGGGAGGGGGAGTGGTTTGGTGGAGAGGGAGGGGGGGAGGGAGAGGGAGGGGGAGTGGTTTGGTGAGAGAGGGAGGGGGGAGGGGGAGTGGTTTGTTTGGAGAGAGAGGGAGGGGGGGGAGTGGTTTGTTGGAGAGGGGAGGGGGAGTGGAGAGGGAGGGGGGGGGAGTGGTTTGGTGGAGAGGGAGGGGAGGGGGGAGTGGTTTGGTGGAGAGGGAGGGGAGGGGGGAGTGGTTTGGTGGAGAGGTGAGGGGAGGGGGGAGTAGTTTCCTGTTGGTGCTACGGCTAAGCTAACAAAATTGCATACTGCACCTTTAACTTGATTTTACCCACAAGTGGATCAAGGTGATTCCACGTTGCCTACAGAAACTTAAAGGGTCAATCCATCTATCCATCTATCCATCTATCCATCTTAGGGGTGTAAATCGGTGACTGTTTAACCGGTCAAAGCTGTCGGTTAAAAAAGAGAAAAAGGGAGAGGGGAGGTCTCTTCATAACACTATTTTAAGCCCTATCCGTCTCTAGCTGTGTGCGCTAATGTATCAGTAAACTCCAGGCCGACTCTCACGCCGCACCAGGCACATATGCGCGCACACATGCACACGCACACTCGCACGCGCACACACACACACACACACACATTTCCCCCCCTCCATTGATACGTAACATCCACACGCATCATCCCCCCACTCTGTCAGAACTACATTGGAGCTTATATTTACACACACATACATATACACACATACAGTACATACATGTACACACACACATACCGGTCTGTCGCGCTCCTCTGTGTTATGGTACTCAAAGAATTCTCGCAAATACGCGGCTCCAGTCAAACACATGGACCATGTGTGTGCTGCTGGTCCTTGTCATTAGATCAGCTCCATACAGTTGTATTTAAACTTTAGCAGAGACCTGTGAGACGCGGCTCGTCACTCGCTGCTCTGACCATGAACGAACCGTCTTTTGCTTAAAAAAGCTTTAACCCGCAGCACAGAAGAATGGAAAGATTAAAACAGCAGTTCTCTGTGCGTAAAGGTGACGGAGCTGTTGTGGGTTTTGGCGCCGCTGTCTCGGCTCTGATCCAGTAGAACGCTCAGCTGCACTTATGAAAAGTACGCGGCTCGAAATGGCTGTTATTTCAAAGAACGTGGAATATTTTAAACTACGCGGTTAACCGGTTTCAACTGGTTAATGAGGCTCGGTGCTAAGAAGATGGCGCCTCGTACGGTCGACATGGCTCTTTGCTGCTCTCTTTTTCTTTTGTTTTTACTTTTTAACTGTGCATCTGGCTGTTCCTACACCCGTGGGGAACTTATGAACATCCGACCCACCGTTCCCATGGACCTATTGCCTGTTTTCTTGGCATCTGCGGCTGATTTGGTTCATGTTCTAGCCAAAAAAGTGTGGGCCCGTAAAAGGGGAAAGCGCGGAGGCTGCTCGTGCGTCTGAGGAGGAGAGGAGCGCGCACGGCTCTCCCCGGCATTTTTCTCTCCAACGTACGCTCACTGGGCAATAAGATGGACGAACTCAGCCTGCTCATTAGAAGAAACAAGGACTTCGCCACATCCTGTGTCCTCTGCTTCACTGAGACCTGGTGTCCTCTGTGTCCTCTGCTTCACTGAGACCTGGCTAAATGAGCGGATCCCGGACTGCGCTCTGGAGCTGCAGGGTTTTGGGCTGTTCCGCGCGGATCGCCATTGTGCGCTCTCAGGGAAGAGCAGAGGCGGTGGGCTGTGTTTCTACGTCAATACAAACTGGTGTAACGATGTGACAGTGATCTCCAAGCACTGCTCTCCTGCTCTGGAATATCTTTTCATCCATTGTAAACCATTTTACTCCCCGCGCGAAATTGTTTCATTCATTCTTGCCTCTGTTTACATACCGCCATGCGCGTACGCGCGCAAGGCTCAGCGCGCACTCGCAGAGCAAGTACTGTGTATGGAACGCTTATACCCGGACTCTCTGATTATTATCCTGGGGGATTTTAATAAGGGAAACTTGAGCCAGGAATTACCCAAATACAGACAGTTTATCAAATGCCCGACCAGAGAGGAGAACACTCTGGATCACTGTTACACCACCGTGCGCGGAGCTTTTCGCGCTGTTCCCAAGCCAGCCCTCGGCTTCTCAGATCACTCCATGATACATCTGGTTCCTGCTTACAGACAGAGACTAAAGCTCTCAAAACCTGCAATGAGGAGCTCCAAAGTGTGGTCTGATGAAGCTGTGGAAGAGCTGCATGCATGGAATCTACAGACTGGGACCTTTTCAGAGCTGCCACAGATAGTTTGGATGAATATACGGACACTGTGACGTCATACATTCACTTCTGTGAGGATAGCATCATTCCAACAAGGACCAGGGTCATCTATAACAATGACAAACCCTGGTTCACTGCTAAACTCCGGCAGCTCAGGAAAGCAAAGGAGTCTGCTTTCAGGGAGGGGGACCGCAGCGGCTACAAAGCAGCTAAATATCAGTTCAGGAAAGAACTGAAAGCAGCCAAGTCCCGGCACAGAGAACGACTACAGGAGCAGTTTGGTAACAACGATACTGCTTCTGTCTGGAGGGGCCTACGGGAGATCACCAACTACAAACCCAAAGCCCCCCCCTGTGCTGACAACCACAAGCTAGCTGACGAACTGAACTTATTTTTCAGTCGCTTTGATGCTGCCCCTGACACCTCTCCCTCCCCCACCCCCCACTACTCTAACGACCCACCCATCAGCCCTGCCCCCAGCCTAACAATAGCCGCTAAAGAGATTAAACAACTCTTCTTGAGGCTGCACCCCCGCAAAGCTCCTGGCCCGGACCACGTGTCTCCGGCCACTCTGAGACACTGCCCCAGTGAGCTTACTCCTGTGTTCACTGACATTTTCAACACCTCTCTGCAGTCCTGCCATGTCCCGGCCTGCTTCAAATCCTCCATCATTGTCCCCGTCCCGAAGAAGCCCAGGATCACAGGACTCAATGACTACAGACCTGTAGCACTTACGTCTGTCGTCATGAAGTCATTTGAACGCCTGGTTCTCTCCCATCTCAAGTCCCTCACCTCCCCCCTCCTGGACCCCCTGCAGTTCGCCTACAGAGCCAACAGATCTGTAGACGACGCCATTAACCTGGCCCTCCACCACATCCTACAGCACCTGGACTCCCCGGGGACCTACGCCAGGGTCCTGTTCGTGGACTTCAGCTCTGCCTTCAACACAATCCTGCCATCCCTGCTCCAGGACAAGCTCTCCCAGCTCAACGTGCCCGATTCCACCTGCAGGTGGATCACTGACTTCCTGACGGACAGGAAGCAGCGAGTGCGTCTGGGGAAGAATGTCTCGGACTCTCGGATTATAAATACAGGAGCCCCACAGGGCTGTGTTCTTTCTCCCCTGCTCTTCTCCCTGTACACCAACCACTGCACCTCCAGCCACGACTCCGTGAAGCTGATCAAGTTCGCGGACGACACCACCCTCATTGGACTCATCTCCAACAACGATGAGTCCGCCTACAGGAGGGAGGTGGACCGGCTGGTGTCCTGGTGCAGTGGTAACAACCTGGAGCTGAACGCCCAGAAGACAGTGGAGATGATTGTGGACTTCAGGAAGAGCACTGTCCCCCCACCCCCACCCTCCGTGATGGACTCCCCCATCACCTCTGTGGAGTCCTTCCGTTTCCTGGGCACCACCATCACCCAGGACCTCAAGTGGGAGCCGACCATCAGCTCCCTCATCAAGAAGGCCCAGCAGAGGATGTACTTCCTGCGGCAGCTCAGGAAAGCCAAGCTGCCTGCACAGATGTTGGTGCAGTTCTACACGGCCATCATTGAGTCCATCCTCACCTCCTCCATCACCTCCTCCATCACGTCCTCCATCACCTCCTCCATCACCGTGTGGTTCGCTGGAGCCACAGTCAGGGACAAACAGAGACTACAGCGCATTGTGCGCTCTGCAGAGGAAGTGATCGGCCGCAGCCTTCCATCGCTGCAGGACCTGTACGTCGCCCGAGCTCGAGGCCGGGCTGGTCGTATCACAGCCGACCCCTCTCACCCTGCACATGGACTATTCCAACCACTCCCCTCTCACCTGCACATGGACTATTCCAACCACTCCCCTCTCACCTATGGACTATTCCAACCACTCCCCTCAGGCAGGAGGCTGCGGCCCATCAGGACTAGAACCTCCCGCCACAAGAACAGTTTCTTCCCCTCTGCTGTTGGACTCTTGAACACTTCTTAACCTGTCCCCCCGCCCTTTATAAAGTCACTTTACTGCCCATCATACGTCACTTTACTTCACTGTACTGCTGTCACCTTACATTGTGTGCACCATGTGCACTTGTATATTGTAAATAGTAACTGTAACTCTATTTTAAATTTAAATTTATTCTTTAGAACTGTTTTTTATTCTTATTTTTATTATCTCTTTTTGACTGTTGCACTGAGCCAAAGCAATTTCCTAGTCTGTGACCTCCTGTTACTTACGTGGCAATAAAAATGATTCTGATTCTGGTCGGTCATGAAAATTCATAGTTTTTTACATCCCTAATCCATCTATCCATCTATCTGTCTGTCTGTCTGTGACAATGTTCAAATCCCCCCACCTTTTCCCCTGCACTTTGCCTTTTGTATGAACTGTGTTTTACGGAGGAAACACACCCAGACACTGTGCAACATAAAAGCACAACACAAAGCCACTAAAAACACACAGTTATGTGATGAACGGCTGGTTACGTAACGGCGGAGCGTGTTTACTGCTCATCACCGCGGCACAGACCCCAGACCTGTTGTCATCAGGAGACTGGATTGGACACGAGCACATTTCTTTTTCTCTGCGGTCACAAACCAGTGAAAGTACATCTCCCCGCGGAGCCCTTCCTCTATTGTTTTATGAAGATATGTCAGAGAAGATGCATGTGTTTCGGGCTCGGCGGCTCAGCTCTGATCGGGAGCAGATGTGGAGGACGCGCCAACCTGAAATGAGCCCTCGTCTCCGGGTTCGATCGGGCGCCGAGCTGCCTTTAAATGGAGGAGATCCGGGGCAAGCCGGGTCACAGCATGGGCCTGGTGGGAAGTGGTCAGCAGGTCAAGCCTTGTACTTAGCTCTCTCTTGAACACTCCTGTTTTTGTCTCCAGGCAAAATGGTTTGGCATAAATCAGACTATTTTAACTTGTTTTTTGAGCCAAGACATTGTTTGAGTTTTAAATGTGCCATATTTTGCTTTTCTTCATTGTTCACAGTCCGTCCTCTGCACATGTGTGATACTAATTTGGGTGATACACTCAAAACAGATTATAGCCATTTTGTGCATTTTGACCAGAGCAGAGAGGATTCATGGTTTTACACTGGTCCAGACCAGAGCAGAGAGGATTCATGGTTTTACACTGGTCCAGACCAGAGCAGAGAGGATTCATGGTTTTACACTGGTCCAGACTAGAGCAGAGAGGATTCATGGTTTTACACTGGTCCAGACCAGAGCAGAGAGGATTCATGGTTTTACACTGGTCCAGACCAGAGCAGAGAGGATTCATGGTTTTAGACTGGTCCAGACCAGAGCAGAGAGGATTCATGGTTTTACACTGGTCCAGACCAGAGCAGAGAGGATTCATGGTTTTACACTGGTCCAGACCAGAGCAGAGAGGATTCATGGTTTTACACTGGTCCAGACCAGAGCAGAGAGGATTCACGGTTTTACACTGGTCCAGACCAGAGCAGAGAGGATTCATGGTTTTACACTGGTCCAGACCAGAGCAGAGAGGATTCATGGTTTTACACTGGTCCAGACCAGAGCAGAGAGGATTCATGGTCTGAACCAAGTGGATCAGGAAAAAACCACTGGAAGAATGCTAACTTTTAGAAAAAAACTAACAAAGGATTTAGCATTTTACTTTGGACCAGAGCAGAGAAAATAGTCTGAACCAAGCGGTCGGTCGGTGTGTGTGTGTGTGTGTGTGTGTGTGTGTCCTGCAGATGTGTGTGTGTGTGTGTATGTCCTGCAGATTTGTGTGTGTGTGTGTGTGTGTGTGTGTGTGTGTGTGTGTGTGTGTGTGTGTGTGTGTGTGTGTGTGTGTGTGTGTGTGTGTGTGTGTGTGTGTGTGTCTATGAAAGTGCGGCGTCTCTGGACTCTCCTCCTACTCTCTGGACTGAGACATGACGACAGAGTTTGTAAGTGATCATTAGAAACACAGTCCGGTGTTTTCGCCTGTGGTCAGACTTTAATGATGGACTATGGAAAAGAGACATGTACAGACACCATCAATGAGAGACGGGTGATGTAAACAGGGACGCTATGGCAGTGGAGGTGTGTGTGTGACTGTGTGTGTGTGTGTGTGTGTGTGTGTGTGACTGTGTGTGTGGGTGTGTGACTATATGTGACTCTTAGGTCTCTCATGTTGAGTGAGCTTTTGTGCGGAGCGGCGGATGGTGTGATTCTTGGTTCCGTGTTTGGTTCTTCGGTGTCAGATCCAGACGTGTCGAAGCTGAGTGGAGCCGTGCTGTTCCCTGTCAGGACCTGCCACGGACCGGACCTGCCACAGACCGGACCTGCCACAGACCGGACCTGCCACAGACTGGACCTGCCACAGACCGGACCTGCCACAGACCGGGACTTGATCCACAACCACAGAGTTTCTACCCACTGCCTTTACCGCCGCACATGCTGTTCCTTGCATGAGCGTGCCTAACTGTTGACACAGCACTGAAACATGACAAGTTTAGATCCACGGACGCTACGCACGGTGTGGTCAGACTGTTGTGGTCAGACTGTTGCGGTCAGACTGTTGTGGTCAGACTGTTGCGGTCAGACTGTTGCGGTCAGACTGTTGCGGTCAGACTGTTGCGGTCAGACTGTTGCGGTCAGACTGTTGCGGTCAGACTGTTGTGGTCAGACTGTTGCGGTCAGACTGTTGCGGTCAGACTGTTGTGGTCAGACTGTTGTGGTCAGACTGTTGCGGTCAGACTGTTGTGGTCAGACTGTTGCGGTCAGACTGTTGTGGTCAGACTGTTGCGGTCAGACTGTTGTGGTCAGACTGTTGCGGTCAGACTGTTGCGGTCAGACTGTTGCGGTCAGACTGTTGCGGTCAGACTGTTGCGGTCAGACTGTTGTGGTCAGACTGTTGTGGTCAGACTGTTGCGGTCAGACTGTTGCGGTCAGACTGTTGCGGTCAGACTGTTGCGGTCAGACTGTTGCGGTCAGACTGTTGCGGTCAGACTGTTGCGGTCAGACTGTTGCGGTCAGACTGTTGCGGTTGTTTTTTTTGCATTTCCCAGAATGTTTTGCGGTTCATGCTCGCCTGTGATAGGTTGGGAAGCCTCTGCCTACGTCTCCCAGAATGCAGCACGGTTCTGACTCTGCTTTACTTCCTGTGTTTTCTTATTGTTTTTTTCCAACTAGTTAAACTATCAAACATTCTATCAACCCCCTTTTCTATTGATATGGAACAATATATATGGTTATTGTTACCCAGCCCTAATCTCTATCCAGCAGGCTCTTCTCCAGCTGCAGACTGTAGCTGCGTTTCCATTGAATAATGCGCAAAAACTTTTTCGATACATTTCAAAATTCGAAAAACCTGTAATTCGCAAAAGCGGCCGTTTCCATTAAGACATATTCGAATAAGTATACACTATTTTCGCGCGTTTATTCACTAGTTTCTAGTACGTCAACATGGCAACAGAAGTAAACAACACTTTGATTTACGTGAGATATATTAATGTCTTGACTTCTGCTGCGGCTCTCATCCTCTCTGACCTCTGACCCCGGGTGAAACTGTGGCTGCTTTGACAGCTCCGCGAACGCGCGTGGTCATGTACCGAGCGCGGACCATAGACGCGCGCACAGAACCATAGACACGGGTCTTGCCTGTCTCCCCCGTCTCTCCCCCATGCCTCTCCCCCGTCCGTCTCTCCCCCATGCCTCTCCCCCGTCTCTCCCCGCTCTCCCCCTGCCTCTCCCCGTCTCTCCCCGTCTCTCCCCCATGCCTCTCCCACGTATCTCCCAAGTCTCCACACGAAGCGCAGCCAAAACTCACTGAATAAAGCTCAGCTCGGCTTCCTCCGCTATATCGAAATAAGTGTTTCCATTGCCGTTTTGCGAAAAACTTAATTTTGATACGTCCAAAAAACCACAGATTTTAAGCGCATTAACTTTTTATCGAAAAACTGTGGTTTATTCGAAATTTGCGCGTTTCCATTAGACATTTTATGATGCGCAAATTCAAATTTCGAAATTTGATGCTCAATGGAAACGCAGCTACCCCTGGACAGGTGAACACAGTCTCCCTAAAGATAATAACAATAAAACTCACACAATAATAAAATTCAGTAGAACCATAAACAGTAAATATTAATGAATGTAGTCACGCCAATCCCCTCCGTTGAAACTAATGTACCACCACTTTCACTATTATCATTATTAACGTACTTACTTACTACTTACTATCTATGGGCAGTTTCAAAAATACCTCTAAACACAGAGGAGCAGCGGCTCTATTCCAAGCTCATCTTATGTGACAGAGCTCCCACAATCTTTACGAGAGATCCCAGCCAGCCTGCAACTTGAGAACTTGTTTTGGCAGCTTGTAACCATTACTTTAAAAAATATCTCCCTTTTCACCTCAGTCCAGTGCCTACAGAAGCATTGCAGATTCTCCAATAGTTACATAATCCATCCATCCATCCATCCATCCATCCTTGAAACAAAGCCAGTAAAATCCAGGAGAAATGATAACTAAGCTTCTGCCTCACTGTGAGTTTAAGCCAATTGTAATTCCTCATAATGTTAAATATTCTTTGCATTGAAATGGCTTTTATCTTGCGTGGTCAAGTGCCATAAGTGCTTAGTCAGACGGATATAGATGTTCCGTCGTTATCATAGCTGCTGCTTAGTATTACCAAGTTGTCAGCCTTCAGCTAAAAATATAACCATTATGTCCATGATCTGCGGGCACTTTATCTGCAAAAAATACATCAAGATTTTTACAAAAAACATGAAATAGCAATTAAACCTCTTTGAGACGGCCTTGGCTCGCAGTGTTGACATCTCCGTGGATTATATGTCATAAACAGAGGCGCACACTCTTCTTTCACGCCTATGATTAATACGGAGCCACGGGCCATAGACGTCTCCCCCCGTCCTCCTCCCCCCTCCTCCCTCGTCCTCCCATATGCTTCTCTGTGTTCCTCCCAAAGCCGAGCACACACAGCAATATGGGGCTTTATGAGGCATGTATCGGCTGGAACTGTCAAGAAGCACAACATCCACAATTGATTAGAGAAAAGACGAGGAGAGAGAACGCTTGCTTATGCTGCTGTCTGGAGTCTGGAGATGTATGAGCCAACCTGCGCTCCCTGCTACTGTCCCCCCACGGTGGAAACAGGGCTAGATCATTTCTGTAATGAGGGAGTGGCATAGAGTCCGTGCCACGATCTGTGTCTGGCCTGGCTTGTTGGTTTGTTGTTACGGAAAGCATATTGAAATGGGTGTTATTGGATGCCTGTCGTGGCCTGGGGGATTCATTTGCTTGTTTATTAGAATAGATAAATGCTATTTTCTCTATGTATTTCTCATAAAGCACAGGTTATCTGATGGGTGGTGTTCCTGTCCAGCTCTCCTCTGCACAGATGTGACTGGCTTTGGACATTGCCTTAAAGAGATAGATACTTCGATTCTTTAATGAGAAATGCAGGTGTCCAGTAGCAGCAAAAACACATCCATCCAAACAAACAAAACAAATAAGTTGATCATTCTATAAGTATCTAACAATAATAACAATCATAACAGTCCTTCAGGTCACAGTACCCACTTGGTTCAGACCATTTTCTCTGCTCTGGTCCAAATTAAATTGCTAAAAAGCTTTGTTAGCATTTTTCTGAAAGTTATCATTCCTCCAGTGGATTTTCTCCTGATCCACTTGGTTCGAACCATGAATCCTCTCTGCTCTGGTCTGGACCAGTGTAAAACCATGAATCCTCTCTGCTCTGGTCTGGACCAGTGTAAAACCATGAATCCTCTCTGCTCTGGTCTGGACCAGTGTAAAACCATGAACACTGAACTGCAGCAACATCTCAGGCATAAAAATACATAAAAATAACAATTGTAAAACACAAAACAACGGTTTCAGAGACTTTTGGGACTCGCTGCAGTTTCCAGAACATTCTAAAGTAAATCTACCATGAAAAGATGGACCTACCATGAGGAAAGTTTCAGACTCCACCAGTTATAGTTCAGGTTTGGCATTGACATCACCATGTGGACCTGGAGAGTGAGCAACATTTGGGTTTCCTGAAGAGAAATTCCCAAAATCTACAAACTTTCTTAAAAGTCCGATAATATTTCCCAAAGATACTCCGAAGGCTAGCGACCTGCTACTACTATCAATGGCACGGATATGTTTCAGCTGGAATAAACTTAAACATTCTGGTCTTAACTCATCAAATGACTAATCAGCTCTCAACAAATGTGAAATATTTTGAGGTTATTCTGTTTTCACAATCCCCATTCACTACTTGCACAAAGCCCATATTGCTTCTGGACGTGAGGAGGTTGTTCCCAAAGAAGCTGTGAAGTTTCCAAACCTTAGAAGTGTGTGATTCCCGATGAGAAGGTCGAGAAATAAACCTGAGACCTGTTTGAAACCTCAATATTCATGGGTACACTCTAAACCCTTGCCCTTTGTGTTGTTGATGCACAAAACCAATAGAAATGAGCGCCATCTGCTGGTGGAATGGCACCATACAAATGAACACATGAGTAAGATGAGATTTAATAAACAGGTCTCTCCCTCACTTGTTTAAGCCTCGTTTTTATTGTATTTAATTGCCTTTAAAGCTATGGAAGCTAGTATATGGCTCTTATCTGACACATATGGATCTAGTGCCCCCTGGCCAGTGTTGTGGGACTAACAAATGGGGATTTTGGGAGCAGAATTGCACTTCCTGATCCAAGAAGCCTTGTCCACTCTCTATTGTCATGGTCTAAAACAAAGAGAAAAAACCAATGCTGAATCTGCAAATACACTACATCTTTTATCTGTTTGTTTATTTGTTTATTTAAATGGAACAGAGTGGGTTATTTACCAGCAGGTGAACTTAACCCTGCGTTATATAAAAAAAACCCCTCTACAATCTTCAGTCTTTAGCCACAGACCAGCTTCAGGCCTTACATATCTCATTCTTCCTCACTATCTCCTCACATAGATCTTCTCCTAAAATTGCCCTGTGTCCTCAAACGCCTGGTACCCCGCGCTCACACCCACCCCCTACGACACCACGCCGTCTTCCCAAAGATACACTTCCCACTTCCGTATCGGCGACAGCATCTGACATCTGCCTCTTTCCGTCGCAGCGTGAGCGCCGGCCCGTGTTGTTTCCACCCTAAACCCACACCTCTACTCTACGCCTTCTCCTTATCTCAGCCTTATCGTGGTCTTATTCACCGCGGAAGGAGGCGGAAGACAGGGAAAAAGAGAGAAAGTATCGCTCGAGGGTCGGGGGGGGGGGGACGTGGTAGGGTACTGATCCAGGGCTGTTATAGTAATCCTATCAGTGATGTTGAGGCATTGTGCAGATGTAAGGAAGTCAAGGAGAGTCCGGTGTAGCGCTCAAGGCTGTCGCTGTTATCGCCCACCGCTGATCTGACTGTGGTATGTGCGAAGAAGGGGGAGGGAGGGGAGGGGGGGAGATAGGATGGGGGGGGGGGGGGGGGGGTGACCTTGGCTGTGCGTTTGTGTGGATTACGGGGACACATTAAGGTGGATAGTAACATCTCGCCGCGCGTCTATGAGGCTCATAGATAGAGCATATGTGGTCGGCTGTAAACAAATCGGTTTGTATTTAGATGTGGCTCAAAAATGGAAATTCAATTCATTTTTTAACTATTGTTTGTCATTTTCTACCCCTTTATTATTCCATTTCCGGGTTGGGGGGTGGCAATCAGAGCTGTCCCCCAAGTCTCATAGCACCAGTCTCTCGCTGATCCTGGTGGTGGGTCCACGGGAAGATGGCTTCTCTTTCATCGACTAGATGGCCTTGGTCTTTCAGCAGGGGCTTCAGGCAATGTGGGGTTAAGTGTCTTGCCCAAGGACACAACGACAGCAGACATCAGTGGGAGCAGGTGACATGGGTCGTGATGGGATCGAACCCACGACCATTAGGTCCAAAGACCAGTGCTCTACCAACTTTTATTTGTTGATAATTGCCCCACTGCTTGCAAAAATCCCTCAAATAAAACTAGAAAATGAGAATCTATTGAAACTAGACTAAAAGACAAACTAAGAAAAATGTAAACAGGTTACTCTATCATTATAATGCCTTGATACCTTTCTTTTCATTCTTCTCAGAAAGTACAGTTGTAAAAAGTCTCATGAGGGTGGTATAATAATGCTTCAGGGAGAGTTTATTTCGGCTCAAAGCTACAGCTGTTGGTGCACATGAGCATAAATCTCACAAATGCATTTGTTAAAAAGAAGTTATGACTCCTCCACAAACACAGGCCACTGTTGGAAGCATTAGTTTTACCATCACCTCAAAACTATCCTTAAATAACTTGCAGACTTGTGTAAATTAGGTCTGTTAAATTATGGACTGAAGACCACTGACCAGATTTCATCCAACACCCTGTTTTTGTGGACTCTCTCATTGGTCTCTCTCCCAGGTCTCTCCTTGGTCTCTCTCTCTCTGGTCTCTCCTTGGTCTCTCTCTCTATGGTCTCTCTGTCAGGTCTTTCCTTGGTCTCTCTCTCTCTGGTCTCTCCTTGGTCCTTCTCTCTATGGTCTCTCTGTCAGGTCTCTCCTTGGTCTCTCTCTCTCTGGTCTGTCTGTCAGGTCTCTCCTTGGTCTCTCTCTCTGGTCTCTCCTTGGTCTCTCTCTCTCTGGTCTCTCCTTGGTCTCTCTCTCTATGGTCTCTCTGTCAGGTCTTTCCTTGGTCTCTCTCTCTCTGGTCTGTCTGTCAGGTCTCTCCTTGGTCTCTCTCTCTGGTCTCTCCTTGGTCTCTCTCTCTCTGGTCTCTCCTTGGTCTCTCTCTCTATGGTCTCTCTGTCAGGTCTCTCCTTGGTCTCTCTCTCTCTGGTCTGTCTGTCAGGTCTCTCCTTGGTCTCTCTGTCAGGTCTCTCCTTGGTCTCTCTCTCTATGGTCTCTCTGTCAGGTCTTTCCTTGGTCTCTCTCTCTCTGGTCTGTCTGTCAGGTCTCTCCTTGGTCTCTCTCTCTGGTCTCTCCTTGGTCTCTCTCTCTATGGTCTCTCTGTCAGGTCTTTCCTTGGTCTCTCTCTCTCTGGTCTGTCTGTCAGGTCTCTCCTTGGTCTCTCTCTCAGGTCTCTCCTTGGTCTCTCTCTCTCTGGTCTGTCTGTCAGGTCTCTCCTTGGTCTCTCTCTCAGGTCTCTCCTTGGTCTCTCTCTCTCTGGTCTCTCCTTGGTCTCTCTCTCTCTGGTCTCTCTGTCAGGTCTTTCCTTGGTCTCTCTCTCTCTGGTCTCTCCTTGGTCCTTCTCTCTATAGTCTCTCTGTCAGGTCTCTCCTTGGTCTCTCTCTCTCTGGTCTGTCTGTCAGGTCTTTCCTTGGTCTCTCTCTCTCTGGTCTCTCCTTGGTCCTTCTCTCTATGGTCTCTCTGTCAGGTCTTTCCTTGGTCTCTCTCTCTCTGGTCTGTCTGTCAGGTCTCTCCTTGGTCTCTCTCTCAGGTCTTTCCTTGGTCTCTCTCTCTCTGGTCTGTCTGTCAGGTCTCTCCTTGGTCTCTCTCTCAGGTCTCTCCTTGGTCTCTCTCTCTCTGGTCTGTCTGTCAGGTCTCTCCTTGGTCTCTCTCTCAGGTCTCTCCTTGGTCTCCCTCTCTCTGGTGTGTCTGTCAGGTCTGTCCTTGATCTCTCTCTCAGGTCTCTCCTTGGTCTCTCTCTCTCTCTGGTCTGTCTGTCAGGTCTGTCCTTGGTCTCTCTCTCAGGTCTCTCCTTGGTCTCTCTTTCTCTGGTCTTGTTTATTTATGTACTTGTCTTGTGCATACTGGGGACTTTTGCAATTTTATTCCAATGTGGTTTTACTGCAAATAATCTGACTCTGAATCTGAATCTATTGTAGGCTCTCCATTAACTTTCTTGTCTCTTTCCGGTCTCTCTCTCCTGTCTTTCCTTAGTCTCTCTCTCTGGTCTCTCCTTGGTCTCTCTCTGGTAACAGGTCTCTCTCTCTCCTTTCTTCTCTTGGTCTCTCTTTCTCTGTTTTTTCTCTGGTCTCTCTGGTATTTCTCTTAACTCTCTCTGGTCTCTCTCAGTTCTCTCTCTGGTCTCTCTCTGTTTTGTGTCTGGTCTCTCTCTGATCTCTCCTTGGTCTGTCCTTAGTCTCTCTCTGGACTTACTCTGGTCTCTCTCTCTCTCTCTCTAGTTTTTGTCTAGTCTCTCCCTGGTCTCTCTCTGGTCTCTCTCTCTGGTCTCTCCTTGGTCTGTCCTTAGTCTCTCTCTGGTCTCTCTCTAGTCTCTCTCTGGTCTCTCTCTGGTCTCTCTCTAGTCTCTCTCTGGTCTCTCTCTGATCTCTCCAATCTAAATACCTTCTCATGCATTTGGTGTGATTGAAGCTAAGCCACCTTTCAGTAGGAACGTGATTTAACTGAACAGGACATTTTAGGACTTGGCTGAGTGGTTAGCACTCTTGCTTCTCAGCAAGAAGGTCCTACTACTAAAGACAGGAAACGAAGGCAAAATCCTCCAGCTCATGTCCTGGCCAAGTCAAATATCAAGATCTGCAAGCCGTTTTTGAGGATTTCACTGATTTTCAAGACCCACAGAATATCATGGGCAATGACTATGTGAAATATGAAACCAGATTCTGAAAGACTGGACTGTCTACTTTCAGAAGCAGTTTTGTTCTCCTGTGTTGTCCAATCCAGGGAAGTGTGACAGAACTCGTCAATCTCAGACAAATGCGTCAATGGCAGTCTGAGTAAAATGTCTCTACAAAGACCATAAATCCTAGGTTTATGTGTCTTTGCAGATGGAGCCCAGGAGCTGCCCCTCTTCCAGCTCATCCCGTCCCAGAGGCAGCTGGTGTTTCAGGGGGACAGACTGCCCCTCCAATGCACAGCGTCCTACCTGCACCCCACCATGGAGCTGCGCTGGAGGCACAACGGGGTCTCGGTGAGGACCCAGGAGGACCGTGGCGTCACGGTGGAGGAGAGCATCATCCACGACTGCAGCCTCATCACCAGGTACACACCAGCAACATGACTGGAACCAGGTACAACACACCAGCAACATGACTGGAACCAGGTACAACACACCAGCAACACGACTGTATCTACGACCACTGGAACACAGACTACCATGTATTCATCTCAGCTATGTCTACATTTGATTCAAAACACATGTTTAAAGGAGCAATATGTAAGATTATCATATCAAGTCATCATTAAAGGGCCCTAATCTGTCATCCTTAAAGGGCCCTAATCTTTCATCATTAAAGGGCCCTAATCTGTCATCCTTAAAGGGCCCTAATCTTTCATCATTAAAGGGTCCTAATCTGTCATCATTAAAGGGCCCTAATCTGTCATCATTAAAGTGCCCTAATCCGTCATCATTAAAGTGCCCTAATCCGTCATCATTAAAGTGCCCTAATCCGTCATCATTAAAGTGCCCTAATCCGTCATCATTAAAGTGCCCTAATCCGTCATCATTAAAGGGTCCTAATCTGTCATAAAAATGAAGAAGGATTAGAAAAGAGCAGTTTAACTGAAAACAGTAGTTCAGAGATATTTGAATTTATAAATAACTTTTCCAGCCTTTAAATCTTGTTATTGTTTTCATTTCGATGTCCCGCCCTCCACCGTTTCACCAATCAGAAAGTCTGTGATCCGGGCGCCAGAACTCAGCGCGTGGAGCTGATCTCACTGGTAAAGTACCATGATCCAGATCAGTAGACTCGTTGGAGATCTCAAAACCTACCTTTTAAACTGACGTTGTAATTTCTAAATGTTTTATACTCTGTACTTTTTAATAATGTGTTTGATGTTTTTCTAATATATTGTAAGGTGTCCTTAGGTGTCTGGAAAGGCACCATGAAATTGAAAAGAAGTATTATTATTATTATAAATGTTGAGTTTAGAGTCCATGTTTCTTTCATATCAAACTGCTCTTCTGCTTCTGATTCATGATCTTGATTACTACCATCTAATGTTAATAAAATCCCATTACGATGAGAACTTTCAAATCCCAGAATACTCCAGAGGTTGTATTTGTGTGGAAGTAGCTCCTCGCTGCTGTAGGCCATGGGCTGCAGGAGCTGATTAGCCTCTGACACAAACCTTCGGGGACGTATACAAGTCCAGCCAAGCAGAATAAGTCAATAAGACGTGCAAATAAGCAGCAGGATGATTTTTAATGAGATGCAGAGTGGAACATGTGACCAGTGTAGAACATATGGTAATGGGTTCAGTGCAGTCATGGTGTTAGTGAAGACAAGTGACCACGCTGCGCAGAAGGAGAAGCAAAATGTGAGCTGCTGCAGATAAATGTGTTTTACCACTTTTTATGAACCAGTGTCATGTGAAAACAGTAAATAAATATGCATATGACAGTACAAAATTTTAGTCCGTTGAATTTATAGAAAAACATTATGAAATTGATAGTCAGTGACAGCAGACAAAAATATTATTAAATGAATTCAGGTTCATTTAAAGTTCAATTTCTGATGGAACAAATAATCAGTTTTTTAAATTTATTTTTTAATTGAATTTCACAGTGCATTGAATTTTAGGTTAAAAAATAAACATATTGAATATTTTGAAGGTGAATGTGTAATTTAGAAATTATAATCACGGAGGGCGTAAAATGGAGTCTGGATTTAATTAACTGGAGATTTTTCTCATTTCGCAGGTTTTAGTTTCAGATTTTTCCTTGTTTTTTAATATTTTTGTCCTGCATGTGCAACAGTGACTTGTGCAGCCAATGGCCTTTTAATCTCTGCCTCTGGATTACATTTTAAAGTATGAGCTCTGGGATTGAATCTGATTAATTCAATTTGGTCTTTAAAGTCACAAACACACATCAGCAGCTCTTCAATCTTCCCGATGTGAGCCTGGGAAGACATTATTTAAATTGAATCTCCCGATAGCTCGTGTGCGGCATTATGCTGATGTCGTATATTGTTGATGTTTACCTCTGTTTCCCTTCCGCGATGGCGTCCTTGATAAGCATCGGAGAGGACAGGCTGAATTGGCTTGGCGCGGTGCCAGAGCCTCAGACCAATCAGCACAGCCGCTCTCTGGAGACCCCCCACCATCACCACCATATGCCCCCCTCTCTGTATCTCCGTGTGTTTGTCCACTCTCCAGACCCTGAAATAGGAACCCACGGCTGTAGGAGATACCTCGTCTGGCCAAAAAGAATTGTCAGGATTTGCTATAATTAGACTTGGGTCGGAACGAGATGGAGCGAAAGATTGGCTCCACGAGAATGGGACGAGACGAGATTCTTCCATGATTAAAATGGGAGCTCAAATCCTTAAGAAAATATGTATTGAAACAACCGTCAGCGTCTCACTTCTCACTTCAAGGGGACTTCTCTAAATATGTGTCGTTGTCTAAACAGACTTTAGGATTTAGTGTTGGCAGATCTGGGCCCATGCCAAGGTCTAGAAATTGGTTGGACATGTTATTACCCTTGATATGTCGCCAGGGTCTTGAATGGATGTCTCTCTCATCAAAGCCTTCTCTGGTGCATCCCCAAGATTATCCAATGACCTAAAAGTGTTTCTTTGGATGTTATAGAATTCATTGTTTGGAAGGTTTTCTCTGCTGACAACCTGCCGTACAAGAAAACCTGCCACTCTTACAGCCACTGGTTAAAGGTCAATTACGCAAAAAAAATTGAAAAATTAGTTGCATATTTCATCTTTTAAAGGAGCAGTTTGTAAAAATGTGGCCAAAAGTGGTACTGCAGCCCCTCCCACTCTCCCTGACTCAGGTTGCCAGATATGCAGACGAATCCAGCTGGGACCATAACAGCTGAATAGACAATAGTTTTGTCAACAACAAATCTATAACCAACACCTTTTTCACAAAGATAGAAATCCTGGTTTTATTGCTTGTTTTGTCGTTAATGATTTGAGAATCATAACAAGACCTTTTTTAGTTCTGTGCCACATGGTACTTTACCAGTGAGATTAGCTCCACGCGGTGAGTTCTGGCGCCCGGATCACAGACTTTCTGATTGGTGAAACGGTGGAGGGCGGGACATCAAAATGAAAACAATAACAAGATTTAGGGGCTGGAAAAGTCATTTAGAAATTCAAATATCTCTGAACTACTGTTATCAGTTAAAGAAGGATTGGAAAAGAGCAGATTATTATTATGACACATTAGGGCCCTTTGATGATGACAGATTAGGGCCCTTTAATGATAACAGATTAGGGCCCTTTAATGATGACAGATAATAGCCCTTTAATGATGACAGAATAGGGCCCTTTAATGATGACAGAGTAGGGCCCTTTAATTATGACAGGCAAGAAAAAAACCCATAGGTGAAATAAAATACCTTGAAAATGCGCATAAGAAAAATGTATACTGATCTAAATTCAATTATCTTGGCTCAAGTAATGACAAAGATAATGTATTTCTCAAAGCCTAAAAAAACGTCACAAAACACAACATTAAAAACATAAATCTTCAGTGACGGACTAGTTTCTCACCGTCAAAATATTGGACCTATTGAAAGTGCGGCTTCCATTTCCTCGGTCTATTTCTTCAAGAGGCAGTGATTAGATCCCTTTTCTATTGTCAGCCAATCCAAACTCCTTGTTGCATCTTTTATTAAAATGTTCCGCGGCCTTCCAGATGTGTTTGATGTAACGCCCTGGCAACCGGAGCGCGACAGGAGCACACAAGCTTCTGATTAGTTTAACTGCAGCCCTCGCCTCGGCCTTCAGCATAAATATTGATGGAACTCTGACAGAAATATGCTCCCATCTGTCAACATATCTGCATCACCGCTTATTGTGCGCTTTATCAGGCAACCCTTGCACGTCGCTTACTGGATGTTCTCTTCCAATGTCTTCTCAAAGTCAGAATTTGCCACAATCTTCGTCCTGGTTTTACTGCGGGACATTGCCTTGAATTGAATTGTAAATTTCAAGCAGATGTAATAAAGTATCTCAGTTCTTGAGGGAAGAGATGGAGGGTAGGATAGACTCAAAGTTTGGGGAATGACCAAAAGAATAAGATGGTGGATTCCTTTGCGATCGGCTGATGAGCTCATTTACCCAGAGCTCGCCATAGAGCCGCTGCTTCCATGAGGGTAAGACTCTGCCATAGCCCTCCACTGCACCTCTTCCAGTCTGCTCATAAGCTATATCCAGAGTTACTATGATAGACAGCCAATTGTTGGGTTTCATTAAACTGGCCTGTAGGGGGCGCATGAGGAGAGATGGGACAGTGTTGCTCCATTGAAAACCATATTTTATCTGTTTTGGAGTCAAAGGATCTCCTCCTGTGCGGTGTATGGTTGTTGGAACAGTCTTAATCGGGGACACTCAATTCTAAGGGAGCACTAACAAATATTTCTCAAAAGAGTCTTGATTTCGGGCATGTTTGAAAAAAAAAAACCAGAAGAAATTGCTGCTTTGCATTGGGGTGGCCTGCAGGGGGCGCTTATCTGGGAAAGCCTTGATCCACCTCGCCCACCTCATTCCAGTGATTTTTTCAAAGTGTCCTCCTTTATATGAGACCACCGTTTGAACATGAACAAACTCTGGTCTTTCTCTATTTGTGCAGTTGCTACAAAGGTACACCGCACAAAAAGATGCTTCTTCTTCTACTATATCTCTGTGTATAAACCACTTCTTCTTCTACTATATCTCCGTGTATAAACCACTTCTTCTTCTACTATATCTCCGTGTATAAACCCGGCAGACTGCACCGCCAGGGCGCGTCACGTCCTGTTCTACGTTTGTTTTTTGCCACTGCCCTGACGTCTGATGTAACCCAAGAATACGTTGGTTAAAGGACAACTCACCCTCAAATCCACTTTTTTTTGCTGATAAACGATTTAAATGAGTGTCCAATAGTGTTGTCTACATATCCTGGTCATAATTTGGTCACAAATTAGTTTAAAGTTAGACTTTCTGCCTAAAACCGTCTGTGAGGCGCCATCTGCTGGCGACCTGTATTACTACATTTGAATTTTGAATCTGGCGCCAACACTGGCGCGGCAGCAA